TAGTCTACCAAGAATAAATGGACTTCAATAATCATTATCTTGTGCACGTTAGTTGCCAGTCCCTCTGTAAAAAATGGATTTTAAAATAACAAATTGCTTAGAAGACATCGAAAGGAGTAGCAAATGTCATTCCACTCATGAAGCTATGAAGTACTGGATTTTTGCATCCTCTCAAACCAGGTTTGTTAGAAAAGGAGAGCGACAATGACAACAAATTGAAGTGCAGTGCTTTTCTTAACCATTAGAATACAAGTCTTGCTCATCCTACATTATCTATTCGCTCAGGAAGTCTAGTAGGGCATGAGGCTGGGATTGCGTTGCTTACTCGGACCATGGGCTGTTTGTTGATCTTTTACCGTAATACACTCCCATCTGTCAGTGAGTGCTCGCACTATAATTATATTAGTCTTACTAACACCCCACCACGAGTCAGCAGCTCCACTCTAAATGCTCGTAGGATTTGGCATCGTGTCAACTGCCTATTAAAGGAACAGCTTGCCAAAACCATTCAGAGTCCGCTCAACGACAGCAATAATAAACGAAGTGCTCGCAATAATGCAGCTAGGAATAACCAGTTCAAACGATTCACTACAAGTGGAAATGTTGTGTTGGGAGGCAGCAAGAACAATTTCAGTCATCCACTACAGGTCGAAGATAAATAGAAAAACAGCGGGACTCGACAGTAACGAGAACTGCAGCATTGAAAATGCTTATTTTGTTCTCGAAACTCGACATGACAGATGGAGATGGGATTTTTGTTGTTGGACGAGTTTAACGCTCCGTTGGCAAGGAACAAATTCAGCAAACAAACTGAACAAAGCGGAACGTTCGTGAAGAAAATGACAAGCAGCTCAAAATTCCAGATAAGTTGTTTCAAGTTTTCTTTCAGATTTCTGGTCACATTTCTCATTATGCAAGGTCATATTTTTAATGTGTTTGTTATCTTCTGGATATTACTTTTTCTATTTTATTTTATATGACCTGTCTTCACGTCTACTGTGCGGATCCCAGCACTTCTCATATTCGATTCGTATCTTCTCATCCATTAGCCACGAAGATCTTCCAACTTTACTTGTGGCTTCGGCTACTGCTTGAGGATTTTCATTTCATCTTGAATGCCGTAGAATGCTGTTCGAGTCGATTCTCTCTGGAGTCCTGAGATTAGCCCGGTTGGAGCGTTCTCAATTGGATTGCAGAGGATGATTCTTTTCGCAGGCAAGACCGGCACCAGCTTCCCGGCCCTGGAGGAGCGAGAGGCTTGGATGGCCCGAAGCGGAAACGAACTAGCACTATGCTGGTGATGGCCGACATCACCACCACTGTGCTGTCCGCCTCCTGTGTATATTGGTCTGTCCATATAATTATATTTAGTAATAGGTCTCACGGACAGCATTTAATAGCTGTCACGAGGAATTAAACGCGTGGACGATCTGATGAAGTAGAACTAAGTGGGCGATAATTTCTACAGAACAATGAGGATGTAAAAAGTTAATGAATAAGCGAACAAAGAAGCCAATTCGGCAAAACTAGTCGGGACCCTGTCCATACGCAGTAATTTTTTATTACAATTCAAGTTTAGTATCGACGGAGACCCGCAGAACTGACAAACGCAGCCTTCGTGGATCAGTGTGTAGCGCGCGAACCCCCGGAAAGGAAAATCTTGGTTCGATCTGGCCTGGGGTCCAAGTTTTGCAAATATCTCAGCATCGTCGTGTTTGCAAATGTGGAACAATCCCCAGAAATTTCTCACTCATTCGAGGTTCTCACGTCCAGAAATAAAGTCTTCTTATTGCTCCACCAACTACGTCGCTATGATGACCAGCGATTATTTTCTTCATTTATAAATGAATCCACAATGCTTATCATCCGTAAGAAATTTTGATCTTAACATTCCGAGCTCTTGACGCCTCCCCATCGATCGGCTAGTTCTGACTTTGGGTCATAATTGATAATGAACATCTTGTATGTTTGTGATATGTTTATCATCCGTAAGAAATTTTGATCTTAACATTCCGAGCTCTTGACGCCTCCCCATCGATCGGCTAGTTCTGACTTTGGGTCATAATTGATAATGAACATCTTGTATGTTTGTGATTTAGAAGATCCACTCCAAAGTCTTTACGCAGCATTATTGCCACTGGCGAAGATGCATTTCCCTGAATCAGCCGATGTGTTTTTTTTTCGCAACGGGGCGACCAAATATGCAAATGCGTCGTACGAGTTTGTGTTCTCAATACTGCCCGCTATTGATCGACAGTAAGTCTGGAAACTGTATTGCAGGCTGATTAGCACGATAATCCTCGACGATGTTTCCGCTTCCAGCCGCATACAGTATGAGTTCTACAACTATTGATAAATCCTGAGCCAAATTGTTATCACGTGTTAAATTTTTTAAGCATTCTTTGGCCAGATACCGTATAGCCGACATAGTCAGATCCGAGAAATCTTCCAGCGACTTGTGATTATCTAATGTCAATCCAAAAGAATAGATGCAGCAGGTTACTTGTGAGCATTCAATTTCAAGATGTTGTAAAATAAGTTGTAAGGTCTTGTTTTTCATCGATTCGATGTAGCAACGCCAAGCAGTATAGAGGCGCTTTTTTAAGAAAACAGCAAGTTGTCACCCTTCCGATAAACGCAGCGAATCTCATAAAAGTGCGCTTCTCTCACGAGATTATGGAAATGAAGAGGCAAAGGAGAGAGACGCAACGATGATGCACTGTGGTGTTCAGGATCGCCGCCGCGAACATCCGAAGTGCCAGGATTATCTCAGGCTGTACAAGTTGCTGTTGAGGTACCGCCGTGTCAAACATAAGCGCTGTGAGAAACTGCAGCTGCTCTAGCCGGAAATTTTTGTTCAAAATTCATGATGAGACCAGGTAGGTCCTTTTAAAAGATTTCTGGAAAAAACAGCCAGTGCCATTAATTTCGGAGTTGTAAACGTTATCAATTCACTCGCCCACTATTGACCCAAGCTCCTTGAGAGTTAATAAACCATTAAAGCATTTATGTGAATGAGGACAAATGATAGAGATGATAAATTCATGGTAGACAACGGCAGCACAGATTTAGGCATTAGTGCTAAGTTCCTAATAGCTATTGTAAAAAAATGAATTTTCATTGTTTCATTTATAAAATAAGATAAAAAACACGTACAAAGAGATACACGAAAAATACCGCAAAGTAGGAGCCAGAGAACTTCATCAGCTTATTCGCTGATGCATATTTGCTACCGGACTGGTATGGATCTAAACTCGAACTACTACTTTAATTTTTGAGTCAATCCCTTACGAACATTAGCGAAAGCCTGGGAACAACCCGCCTTGTTTCGGCAGCTCTTCTTCACGTCTCAATCTCACGAATCACGCAATCCATCCATGACCGAAGCAAGCTGTCCATACTAAATTGCGTAAGATGAGCAGCGCCGTGTTTGCGCGGTGCTGTTCACCTGGTAGCCGTAACGCGTTCATTCCCAATGCAAATCGCATGCTGTGGGCTCATTTCATCGTAGTCTCAAGCATAATAGGAACCGCAACATCTGTTTCTTGTAGTCCAAGGAGGGCCGTGGACGACTTGATTATGGGCCGATGATGGGCCGACCGACTTCACAAGGTGTATGGTAGGCCGCCAGATAAGGGCCGGTGAAGGGCGGTCGTAGGGCGTGGCCACAGCCGAGACAGCCAATCACAGAAGGCGCCGCGCTTTTCTCCTGAAACACATCCCGCCGCGCCACTCGTTCGTAATGCTAGCCAACAACCTGTGTCCTGCGGAGGAAGCTCCGAACTATGCTCAGGTGGGAGTACTGCCTAGTAGTGCTGCCGTTTGTACCTCGTTGGCGAGATCCCGTTCGCCCTCCGATTGATGGCCAACCGAAGGGCGACTTTGGGTCGTGCAACGATGCAAATGAACCTAATGTTTATTCATTTCTGCCTGCTTGTTAGGCGCATCTGATTTTGCGAACCAGCACTATTAGTTGTTGCCTCTAACTTCTTCTACTAGCGAGTATACTCTCTAGTCATAGACATCAGCAAGCTGTCTTCAACTTTTACATTCCCATCCTTTAATCAATCATTTTTAGTTCCAAGTCATCAAACCAACTTGTGAAGCGTTTCAAGAATGGAACCCATCTGCTGCCCCTATGCAGTACCCACAAGCACAGCAATTTCCGTTTCTGTTCCCACAGTCCGACTGGTCTTACCCAGCTCACCTACAACTTCAACAACCTACCATGCTTCAACCTCATGAAGTGAAGGTCTGTTTTTATCAATTTTTCTTCCCACATTGGTTCGAGTTTTACGCTTTCTATACCCCCAGTTGTCTCACTTTCTTAAACTGATTATTAGAACTTGATATACAGTCATACATTGTATAAGTGGTCTTATAAGGTATTTTTGCCATCTTCAATCCCATCCTCAACAGATTGCCTAAATGATTGGTCGCTTTACTTAAATCCTACCTTTGTAATTTTATTTAAAGGCTTTTGATCCGTTGTTGTTAAAACATGCCGTGATTTGACTTTATTGCTAAGTCTTTATGTCACTTAATCGCCATCACTTTCACTCTTTCATTACCCTGCACCATAAAATCAATTTCACCAGCCTCGACCGTACCCCTCGTCCCGTCACGCCAGTATTTCTCGGTGTTCAATCCGTCCGTCTTCGCGCCTCACCAATTGATTGCGACTTACCCTGGCTTCTTCCACATCTTAAATCTTCTTCACACGTTACTAGTAGATGGACGAAAAAAAGTACAGCGAATAACACCACACCCAAAACCACCAGCGTTTTCTACCGTGGTCTCGTGGAAAAGCAATGGGTAAATTACCGAGCCATTGATACCTTTACGTTCAGAGGATTTCTACGACATCCATTAAGGCGAGGCTGTTGTTTTACTACCGACTGTAGAGCTATACAAGACCATGGGGTTCTATAAACTCGTAGATTGGTCACCTAATTATGTGACTTCAATCCCTTGAAAACATAGATAAGCAATTTTAATTAATGAAGCCCTTTAGATTTCCTGAACCTTTCACAGGTGATAGTTGCTGTCAGGTTGACGCGGAACGACCAGATGTGATTCAACGACTACCGCATCCATGGTCATATCCGTTCCCGACTGATGATGCTGCTCACTCCCAGCTGTCTGACGATTCAGAACCTGGATGCCCGGATGATCTTGAGGCATTTGCAAAGCAGTTCAAGCAAAGGAGGATTAAACTTGGGTAAGAGATAGAGGATGACTCATTAATATATTAAAATAATTGTCTACTTTCCTGATAGTCTATTACCAGTAATGTAATAACTTTGAAACTCCATTTCATCAGTCTGAAAACCATCTGACAACTGATGTATTTTGAACTAAGATCTCAGCTCTTCTTAGCATCCAAAAGCTCTGTTGTTGCTTAAACAATGCTCTTTTGACTTTATTTTAATCAATCGATATGAGTGGGATCGTTTTGTATGCCCAAGAAGTTGTTTCAGTTACACCCAAGCGGACGTCGGTTTGGCATTGGGAACCCTGTATGGGAATGTGTTTTCTCAGACGACGATTTGTCGATTCGAGGCGCTCCAATTGTCATTCAAGGTTGATTTCGCCGTCGATTGTTTGTTGCCATTTCTAGCAACTTGCCGTCATGTTGTCATTTGATCTTCACCTCTCGGTCTTTTTTAAGAATATGTGCAAACTGAAGCCGTTACTTTTCAAATGGCTTGAGGAGGCCGATTCTACTTCTGCCAGTCCGAATTCTGCTTTCGAGAAGATGACAGGTCAAGGCGGAAGGAAGCGGAAGAAAAGAACAAGCATAGAGGTGAATTTCACCAATATATCATTATCCTCTACCCTTTAAGATACAGATCGTGCTTGAGTAGCGCGCTCTAAAAAAGACTGAATTCAAATGGAATAGACTACCAATATGACTTCTAGGTCAATGTGAAGTCTCGCCTGGAATACCACTTTCAAAAGAATCATAAGCCAAACGCACAAGAAATACTACAAGTAGCTAATGAGCTCGGATTAGATAAGGAGGTTCGCTATTTTTAAAAGACATCCGCTGTAGAACTGAGCGACCAGAAATCTGGCGCAGATTTTACTAAATCTAAGCCTTAATTTAAAACCAAAGGGTTTTTTTTTACATTTTACGACCTATTATTCTTAATTTTATTTCATGAAATTTAAGGTGGTTCGTGTGTGGTTTTGTAATCGACGACAAAAAGAGAAACGGATGACACCTCAATTTGACCAGCAGATGATGATAACGAGCCCTTATCCACCATCAGACATTTTTTCCTATCCAACTGGATTACCTATCAATCCTGGCCAGTTTGAGCTTCGTACTGGCTCAGGGTCCACCTGATTCCTACACAGATTGCCCTAACAGTTCTACCTCATAGACTCCCAAACCACTAGCACAGAAATAGGATGAGACCACCGCAGTTTTCCACTCACTCTCTTTCACTCCTTCTTTCATGCAAGGAGACCTTTTGTTGCCATATTTCGATCAACTTGCTGCAGCCTGACGGTTGTCTTGTGGTTCTTCTATAGGTCATTCCATCACTAAAGTCGGTTAAGGTGGACATCTGCCATTCAGTAAAACGACCACTAGAAATCGAAGACAGATTTGGTCGAACTATTTCAGGAAAAACGACCAACTATTTTGAGTACTACATTGCATAAGCTTAAAACTACTAATTTGTGTTTTTAGAGAAAGAAAAGACCCCGATAAAAAGCACTGAATTGTGCTTTTCATAATTTTTACAATGTGAGCTGCAGCAGTTTGCCACGATCCCGTAGACTAATTTCCAATCACCCAGCAGGCGCTCGATCTCTTTCCTAAGCCCCAAGTATTCTTACATTCCCCCTCCCCGATGAGATTTTAATTTTTTAATGATCCCAGTGTGTGTACAGACAGTCAATGATTGGTGATGACTTTGCAGTGGTACACACTGCTCCCTACATCTGCTCATCTACAGTATCCCAGTCACCGAGACGCCAAGTCTTGCTTTGTTTTCATTCCTTGTTTGTTACTTTTTTGTAAGGGTAGCGGGCTGCATTATGGCCCGCCGATTTTTTCCTTATTTCTATATGCAACCGTTCAGAGAGATATACTATTTATTTTTATTTACCCCTAACATTCACGTTGTTCTGTGAGTCTAAATGTGTGATATTTCCGTAATAAATGGACTATGCAGTATGGATATATTGATTGCTGGCTTCTGTTTGGTTCGAAATCCTGTAGAGACCTTCAAAGATTACGAAATGTGCCGATGGACATCCTTTTTATAATATCTGTCAAAAAGGTCCTCCACAGATCGAAAAGGAGTGACCACACTCTGGATCGCCCTTTCTCAAGCATCGATAGTAAAAACACAAGTGCATTTATATGAGGGAACGCAGCGTGCGAATCTTCTTTTTTATCTGCCGTGTACCTGTATGGTGGTAAAAACTCCACTGGGAAGCCCATATGAAAAGTAGTTTATTTTCAGTGATTGAATACGACCAATTGCAATGCTGAAGCAAAGACTTCTTGACTATATTGTTTACCTGCCACATTCATTTTCTCTTACTGTGCTCACTGTACTCGTGGGTCCTACCTTAAAAGAAGTTTAGAAAAAAATCCTTAGTAGAACTCGGTACTCTACATGATGTTGCTACGCCTTTGTATTAAAGCTTTCCGTCGTTAGGAGAAAACTGGACCACGTAGGACCGTCATAAATTCAAATACATTCACTCTGGACGGGTATGAAGAGGTTAATCGGGCATGGCATTGTTTAAAGACGATATCGTCACTCATTGCCCGCATGCCAGGACTGTCCCTCATCTCGTCTTGGGCACCTGCTCTCCGATGAATACTCGCCTATCCAAAATTGTCCATCCGCCACCCAATTATCGCGTTCGCACTGGAAGCGGAGGCACTGTTCAGCTAAACGACATGCTAATAGCCATTTGACTGGGTAAATTTAACCATTATCTTCATAACACGGCTGTTTTCTAACCCTCAAAAGATACACTTCCACTCTAGATACCACGGTATTGATACACACAGGCGGATTAATCCATAAAAATGACGACCTCTCGAGCTAATGACGAAAGAGGAAGAGCATTCTATGGATCTAAAAGAATGTCCGTGTAAAAAAGAATAGAAAAGTACTATACCGCATCTTGAAAATGATGGCTCAGAAGGTGACTCTCCTTATTGACTTGTGAAGTTTAATCCTTAAGTAAATCCATTTGCTAGATCTCCTTTCAGACCTCAAGTCTCGCCTTGTCTTGTTCTTTTTAGCTCTTTTATCCAAATTCTATTGCCTCAGTCCCAAAAGACCACCAACCAGCTACAGTATCTCAGTCTAGTATACCACATAATAAGCTATTCTTCATTGCAATCAAATACTTAGAGAAAATTTTGCGTAGGGACCTCTCGTATATTCCCCTTTTAATGGTTTCTAATAAAATGAAAGGAAAGTCCTGTAACCCAGGAAGCATATTCCCTCATTATTTCTAATCTTCACTGATAGCATCTTTTTACACAGAACAATAGATAACTTGTCTTTTACTACAGTTATTTTTACATTTTTAAAAGTAGAGTTGTAAATCTTCTCTTTGCATTCCTACTCATGCAGATGCGATCGACACTAGCGCACCTTGAGACGTTCACAGTCAAAATTAGCGATGAATAGATCTGTTTCCACTCATCCCTATAGCGAAAACGAAAATTTCTTACTTTTCCGGAGTTAAGTGCTTTAAACTAGCTAGATAATGTATCCACGAATCTCACCACCATTTCTGTTCTAGGTTACATCAATGTTTTACGTTCTCGGTTATACCAACTCTCTATCATTGTTGACCAAACATGATGTTGTCCAATGTGAACGGTTTGTTGGGCGGCACCCATCAACACCACCTGCATGGGTATCTCACTCGCTTGATCCCACTCGACCTCAACCATCAGCTGCCAAAGTGACACCATCCAACCATCCTTTCCCAAACCACATCAATTACTAGCGACTCTTTGTTCAAGGGCTGTAGAGAGAGCGCTTCACACCGAATACCGTAATTCGCCGAGAACGATTAGATGATTCTTCGCCTCATGACATAGTTCCACTGTTTGATCGGACGACAATTTATTCATGATATTCGTCAAAGCTTCGCAGAACGGACGCCACGACCTACCTCGAGGAAAAAAAGTACAGTGGTAACTAATCCATTTAGTAATAACTACAAACGGATGATCCTCCGTCAGATGTCGGTACCCTGCTGCGCACTATCGCAACATTTCGCCTTTTGTGGATGACGGCCGACCTCCTCGCACTTTATTTCGTCTCATTACCATAAAACGAGCGCAATGACTCTGAACTGAAACGACTTACGTGGAAACGAGGCACAACTTGTTTCTCGATGCCGACCTCCTTATCTTGCAATAAGTCTAGCACTCCCATCATTCAATCATCACCCTCAACGCTGTGGGGGTACTCTATATGATGCGTAATTCACCAGAAACAAGTCGACACTGAGTCCCTTATTTAGCATTCAATCATAGTTCATTTTCGAAAAACATATGACTAATGCTTGTCATACAGTTACTCATAATTCTGTGGCCCCACGGCAGCAGAAGTGTTTCCTTCTTAAAAATTGACCACCTACATCATTTCCCGGACCCTTCTATCCTACATCATCAACCTTGAACATTTTTGAACGAAATGTTTCCTTTACGAGCCAAACTCGAGGTTAGCAAAAGTACGGTTTATTCAGCACACTTCTGCTCGATACAGCAGTGTACTCAATATAGCATTGTAAGGAATAAATCTCGTTGTTAGTAAACTCGCATTCTCCTCGTCAAGGAAGCTGCATTATTTATCAATGCCAAGGTCAAAAGAGAGGATTCTTTCTGAGAATTTCGTTCTTGTGTTTTATTGAAACAGACTAGTCACTGAAATAGTATGGGCAGAAAACTCTGTCAGTTAAGGCATACGTGACTTGCCTGCTTTTCGGTGATGCAGTTTGAATGGTCACTGTCCCACGATGGTGGAGATGATACGTGGCGAGAACGCTCTCACGTCTCGCCGGGGCAGATTACGGTAAGTGCATAGACGCGCTGCCGGCAAAAAGGCACGCCGCAACAGATTATAACGCACGTAATGCCCACTTCACCCAACCGCAACCTTTCACACCTACTGAAGTCGTTATCTTCAGAAACAAAAAGAAAGTCCACCGAAGACAAGAGCACGATAAAAACGAGGACTTTTAACAAATAATACACATATACAACGTCAACATAATGCTCCGATTATCATTCTGCTGTCTGATTATACGTAACCGCCTCAGCTCCTACAGTCGCTTGATTTCTTAACTCGTACTGCTCCAGTTTCCAGTGTTGGTCTAGAACAAAACATGGTGATTGTTTGCACTACTGAAAAGCACAAAAACCTGATAAATAGACAGACGACACAAACCTTTAAGTTTTCCGTGCACCTTTTGCAGCTCTTTTTCTCTCATCTCTTGTTGACGGACTTCATTTTGCAGGCGAGAAACTCTCTTATTAATTGATTTTGTTTCATGTTCAGCAAGTCGTCTTAAGAATTTAGCCAACAAGAAGATTCTTCAAAAAGTGATAAAGACTCAATATGTTAAAACCTACCTAAATGTTTCCTTCTCAATAATTGCCATTTCCAGCTCATTTCTAACTTCTGCTAATTTTGACGCCAAGTTAGTATGGATTGCCTAAAATTCCAGCCGTTTAGTTAACTGTATACGTTACAAGTCCGAAAAGAAATAAAGATGGACAAATAAATTTTTTCAAGGGAATACGTTCTGACATGCCTTTGTTTTACAAACGGCAAGGCGATAACGACATGGACAGAAATAGCCCTTCTTTAGCCAACAGTACAATAGCAAATAGCTGTAAATCAGGCAGCTACTAAGGTCATGTGGCAATCAAAATTTTTGGCATAAAAGAGAAGGACACAAGGGTCTTCACAGAAATACGTTACACACTAGAACGTTACCTGAAGTATTTTCACCTAGATATTGGTGATTATGGCTGTGGTTGACAATTTAGAACAGCACAAAAAAATCCTTAGATCACTTCTTTCAATACTGAAGACTTTTACACTATACACTGTGTGCACTTCAGATTAAATCTAACAATGGATTTATCAACAACATTCCCGTTACACTAAGTCTTCCCGTTATTATTTGTGACATTTCACTAACTACGACCGCACTGTTAAACACAATGACTGGAAAAGTGATGAAGCACATCCCAAAAATTGGAAACATAATAAAACAAGTAACAGTACCAAATTTCAGACAGGATATATTCTCATTTCTTACCTGTTTACACTTGTTCCCAGTTCAAACGTTCCCTTTAACAAAAATTTCGTGAAAAATATAATGATGTGTTGTCTAGTTAGTTCTAATATGCTGAGAAACGTTAAACATTACGATACGTCGCAACCATTTGCTGACTAATTACTATGGAGATAATCGGCCACCTTTTTTGGCCAGAAAAGCCCCGTAATAACGTTTCTTAGCACACGTTGAGAACAATCACCCCAGATATGAAACTTCTGAATAACGCGAAAAAACTATGGGAGCGCCTCAAAACGAAACCAAGCAATCAGAGGTATAGATATAAATTTAGATGGCAATGACATAAAAGCACCGTAGAGATCATGTACAATTCTCTCAGTTTCAACATGTGATTTCTCAGCAATAAGTGAGTTAATTGATCCTCGGCCACAGCTCAGACAGCTTCCTGGGCAACGAGCTAATCAAATTTACATACAAAATGTGCAATTTCTGGTACTCCTGGTCTGCATTTTGCTCGTGCATAAATTACGGTCGTGGGACTTGGCCGACATCCAGGGCCCAATAAAACAGCGTGGGCTCTCAACCCCATCAATCCAGCCACTTAGAGTGTAGCTGAGTGATACGCTTAAGAAAATCATACAAAAATCTTAAAGAATTCCAATTACGTCTCCACAATTTAAACATGCAAACCTGATAGCCGCCGAGTTTGATTTTAAGCTTCTTTTCCAATTTACCGGTTTTCTTCGCTCGCGCATTCATCCAATCGCGATAAATCTACGAAACAAAAAAGATAAATATAACCAAGTCAGTAAAGCTTTAGCTGTTCTAGAACAACCTGAAATTGAGAGTGTAACGCTTCAATCTGTTCTCCGCGATTCAATACACCGATTCTGGTAAACTTGCCACGATTTTGGACTAACTCAGCACTGCACTGTTCTATGATAGCCCACATGGAAGAATCTAACACAGGTCCAGCATCACAATCCTTGCTGAAATTCGTCATTTGAGACACCTGAAGACCTAAGATACCTAATCATAATTTTAACCCACCTAATCATTTCTGAAGCACCCTTCAATTCACTTTGATCAAAAACCTCGTTCGGCACTTGATCTTGAACATCCCATGAAACGAGACGAGCCATTTCCACTTTAATCAGATCATCAGCCTAAAACTTATGGAAGCTACTATTGTCTTCAACGCACCCAAAAAATGCATCTGCACTGGATTCGTAGATAAACACTACCAATAGCTTACTCTTTGGTTCAAGGTACGACCTACTTAACACGCGCGTCAATTTATCAGCAACACCAGCTGCTCTACATGTCACATCGTCAACATATCACCAACCACCATCTCCAAACGCGCAGACAAAACCCTCAACACCGTCGAGCAATATGTCATTTTCCAGAAATGGATTAACGAGATAACATTGGATGAACCATAACACGACAAGGCCACAACATATTCAATAACCTTACACACGTTACTGTACCGTTGCACACTACTTTGTTTATTTGTCTTTGTTGTCACATTTTATATATGTATATGCATATATGTGTAGATACATATATGTATACGAACATATATCTACATATATAAAAATATACGCATATGTGTATAACATCACAACAAACATGTATGCAACTGCTTTAAATTTTGAATCCCTCTTCCTCATCATGTTTGAGAAATGTTACTGAGTGTTAAATTATAGTGTACAGCAGCGATTCATGAGCACAATAAGATCTCACGCCGATTTCGATATTTTCACCCAAATCCCAACTAAGAGTAAACCAGTATCAGAAATCACTGCTGTTCTTGTTACACAATATCCGTCAGCAGAGAAGCGGTAATAATCTTCACTGGAACGGTCTCCGAGAGGAAAGGAATTTTGTTCACGCAGGAAATTCCTACTCATATGAAGAACTTCTTGCACCTATAATAATTCTTTAATTTCGCAGATATTAACTATACCTGTTATTAATACTACTATTACATGATTCGACAATATGTATCACACTGTGCGGATCCCAGTACTACTTGCATTCAATTCATTTTCTCGCATACACTTTCCACGAAGCTCTTTCAACTTCCTTTTGCATTTATCTCCGGCTGCTGCTTGAGCATCATTTCGCTTTCGTTACGAATACGTTTGAACGCGGTCTCGTACGTTGACGAGTGGGAATGTGGTCGTGCCATAGAAGTCTAGCTCCAATTTCCTGACCCTGGAGGGATGGCATGCCTGGTGGGCCTAGGACAGGGTGAACTACCGTCTAGGCAGGTTGCTCGCAGTACATTAGGTAAGATAATTTCAAAGGTATAAGACTTCGAAATAAATCGAAATAAAATCCTAAGAATAGAAGTTGTCTGCTAAAATACAAACGATTCTGCACTGTTAGCGCGATCACCACACAAAATTTCAATATTTAGCTAAAGGTACAAGAACGTAAACAAAAGACACCTTGGCCATATCAGTTCTGTTCAATGATGGTTTGAATGCGGCATCACACACTTTCGACGGCTTTGGGAGGGAGCGCTGGACAACCTTAAACACAAGAATACAGCATACTATTAAAAGTTTATAAATTAACAATAATAGCGCTAACTCCATCACACCTGCGTTCTCGCAGCAAGTTCACGTTGTCTCTTGAGAGCACGCTGCTTAGCACGAGATTCTTTGACATCGGCCGCATCATCAACCCATTTCTCTTTGCTGTCATCTTGATCCTCGGTTTCATCGCTTTCACCCTCAGGTGCTACGATTTCATAATCATTGCGTGGCTCCGGCAAAGATGCCAGTGCTCTACGCAATTCTGCACGCGCTTCCATATCAGTCGCTCCTGTCCCTTCATTGATACCCATCTGGTCGCGATATAGTGGTGTCATACCAGAAGGTCCAGGTGTAAACGATCCAACGGAGCTTGGTGTTGCTAAAAGAAAGTATTGTTTAAAACTACTAAACGACAAGTATTTCTTGGTGGACTTGCCTCCAAATGAATTAGGAGTTGCCGCAACAGCATTAAGAACAGTATTTGGAGTAGCTTGAACACGTGAAGCGGGCAGAATACCAGAGAAGTCCGTTTCATGAAGTGGTGTGTTTAGCCCTCCTTTTAGTGGTGTGTCTACATTTTGCAGTGCGAGAATGTTTTGAACCTCCTTAAAAAAATAGCAAAGAAAGAATTGCTTCTATTAGTGCTTCGGGATAAAACACGATTACGAGGTTTTTTTTCAACTGCTACACTACGAATAGACAAGTGACGCTTTTGGTTTGTTGATGTAAACCTTTTTAGATCATCTGAAAGAGTTTTCCTTCGTCAGGTCACCTGACTATTAACCAAGCTTGTAGCACCCTAAACTATGATCACAGTGCAATTCCAGTAACTACCGTAACCTGTGTTTGGTTGGCTGCGAGCAACGCTCTCAAAATGGAATTATCCGCCGCCGTTCATTATTATTCCTATCACATCGTCATGCCTGCGAGAGAGCTACCTCCCTCTTCATGTCCTACATTCGTCCACCTAGTATGATTAGTCCAAGATAATAATACCACAAATCAGAAAAGAGGCGAAGAGAGGCACACTCACTTTTATTGGACAAGATGTTAAACTCAAGAAACAAAACATACGTTTAATGGAAAAAAAGGTATGAACGTGCAGCAATCAATTTTCGAAAAGAGAATTGAATGGTGGAAATGCATGTTACCGTTCGTACTAGATCACTTGGTACAAAACCCTCAAGTACCCAATATATCAAATTTGGATGTTTCCACCATTCTTTCTTTCTCTATGTAATTTTTCACTCATGAACGTTTTCCATAACTTTAAAAACGCATTCATGTTTAACTTGGATGTAAAAAATAAGCACAAGTTCGAAAAACTCGTTATTGTGGATAACATATCGGCAACACCTCCATCTCCACGAAGCCAATGATTCGAGTCAGCTACAATATCAAAGTTATTTCTGTTGCGCGATGCTTTAGACGATTCGACTCAATGTGATCCCGAACACTGACAAAGCGCAATTATGTCGTAAGAACTCCACTCGAATTATTCCGTCTTTCAAAATGGTGAAGTCGCCGAAACAGCCATCAATTAACAATGATAAAAGATAAAGCATTCGGTGTCGACAAATTTCGATGGATGCCCCATGCATTCGACTCTATTCGAAGCAACGTAGAGGTGACAGAATACATATTTGACCCTTACAATAAACTGTGGTAGTCTACCAATGTGCAAAGCCAGTTTCTTTTATCCTCCAGGACAAGTTTATTAACAATTTTCTGAACACGAACGGATGAAAGCTTGGTGGGCTCGGGGCATGTGATCGAACTAACCATCATTTGTATTGCAAAGCATCTCTAGTCACTGCGCTACATGCCCCGCGATAACAAAACATATGCCATTCTAGGTGCACATCCTCGCTCTACACTTATGAGTTTTTATCGTTCTTATTTAAGCTGGGGTGATATTGGATCACTAGGATAAGAAAGGAATATAGTGAAATAAGAGCTTTCTTTGCGAATCAAAAAGTGGACACAGTGTCCAGCAATTTACTTGTTAATAATAATGTTCTAATCAGTGAGCAGACCGTTAAGCATCGTAAGGTAGAGCGACAATGGTTTCAGGTTTCGTAATGGAAATTAGAACTATTAACACGAGCAGAACCAGAGTTGCAGTCATAGATGATCATACGTTCGGTCATACTAAGACATCAATGAAAGCCTACCCGAGCACAAAAATTCGAGAGCTTCTCAACGCTCTCACCAAATCAAAAATAACGGATGGAACTAAAGCAGATAGGCCATCAAGCAGAGAGCCTTCGTAACGTATGACGATAATGGGCTCCATAGAAGTGAATGAATTCAGCGCAACGGCTAGACAAGGATAAAGCAGAACACTTTTAGAAGGCAAATATACATTTAAAAAAAACTGTGGTGACTGTCTCGCGGTCGGCAGATATGTTGCCAGCCGAAAAGTGCTGGTTCTATTGCACAAAAACGTACACCAATAAGTTTCGTAAACGGTGGTCCTGAAGCAGAACTATAGGCTATGGAAGCCTTTCATACATTTTATTCGAATTATTACGAACGAGATACAATCCCTTCAAATATCTGGAGGTCCGCTATCGTAAGTAAGTGTGTTCCAATCAAGAAGCGGTCATAAGGGCATTCAACGACTATCCAGATCAAAATATTCAGAATTTTACGAAAATACGTTTGGGCTTTCAAAACACTAATAAGAATACATTAACTGCAACGGGTTTCTGTTCTGACTAACAAAATTAGTCCTAAATAACAGAGCGCCTAGAACATAAAGCTCAAAATGAGACAAATGATACTCAATTACTTCATTACCTGCTCCAAATGCTCTAAACTCAGGAAGTCATTCAGATGTTTATATCTAATTGAGAAAAAAATGACAAGTACTAAATTCTTGAGTACCTTCGAATAAAAAGTCAATAAGAAGTAAAGAGATGTTTACCACACATGCAAAAAATGACCTACTACCAAAATAGCAGCTGAGAACGAGTAGTTCACTATGTGCTGCGAAACTAACCAATTTCAGGCATACATATTCACCACGATTAAATCAAATGCACATATATATTTTGGGTCATACAGAAGGCGTTTCGATCAAACCAAAACACAAATAGCCACTTTATTCTGAAGGGTCCAAACTGTCTACAAACACCTTAATGTTGAAATATTGCGCAATATGCGCGTGTGAAAAAATACGATGTTCTTATCCAAACGTGTTGTCAAATAAATCTAGACAAGGTTCCCGCGCCTTAAATTGATCACTAAAAGCCTACGCACACCACAAAAAAGCCCACCACCATAGAGGCAACAAATCAAACTAAAACAACACCCGTCAACAATCCAATTTCCGATACCAGCGCGTCTATGGTGGACAGGGTGAACAAAAATATTGACGAAACCACATGACCGAAAATCAATATGTCGCTATTCATAAAGTTAGAAATGAATTACAGAACCGAGTTTTACAAAAACATTCAATCAAGGGTAAAAAGAGACAAACAGAGCTTCCACGATAGGAATACTATTGTTGACTTAGAATCTGACCACTGCTGATAAAAATTTACGCAACATCTGTACACTTCAAAAAACTTCTTTTTAAGACGCATTTTTCTCTGCACCGTTTTAACTAGAAAGCGTTGCAAAGAATGTGCTGGTAACCTGCGAACGACCTCGAGAGGCTATCTAATCATTTCAGCGGAAGTCGCGATCAATCAGTGTTCAACATGCCAATGAGGGGAATAAACGACAGGTCGTCAAGCTGAGTCCGACTACCTACATGGATGAAGAGTGTGAGAGAACAAAACGAAGTCCTCAGACCCGCATGCTATGTGAAAATAAACGAGCACATTTTCTAGTAAATATTAGTTTCCATTCGATACCGGAGATACCATTTGCAAATATAATTTGTTTGGAGCAATAACAAATTCAGCTATGTTCGTTTCTTTCCAGTAGAGTCCACAACATAATGAAAACTTCTTATTGAAATCTCATACCATTTGTACATTATCCCGAGCCGCCGGTGTTCGAGCAGTACGAGCAGCTACAGCATTCGCACGAGCGGATGCCGCATAGTCAGTAAGAAGGGAACTGAAAATTCGAAATTAGGTTCCCATAAAATGTTTATTACAAAAAAGTAACTTGATCGATCTTTCCTCGTTGCGCCTCCATCAGCATACTGACGAACACTATCACTTGCATGACCGATTTTGATAATTTGTTCCATTTCGCGGTCGCTAATTTGTGGTGCCGGAAGAATTAGCTTGCTTCTCTTTTTTTCCTTAGTTCTGAAGACGGACTCTGGTTCATCTTCAGGTCTGAAACAAACAAGGAGTTGTGTTTGCCCTAATAATCTCATACCTTCCGTCTCACTTCTTCCTTTTCAGCTTCTCTCTATCCTGCTTACGGAGTTCATTTTCGATCTCCATGCGCTTTGGTTTCTCATGGTCAGCAATAGCCTGAAATCTTACACATCTTTCAATTACACAACTGCAAAACACGGCGAAGAACGGCTTACCCTACGATGCTTATCACTATTGTCCACCTGGTCTTCTGAAGGATCATGAAAACCTGCAGGAACGGGCTTCTCAAATGGTATCTAAAGAACAAAAATACTTTATATCAAGAGCATTGCGTTAACCCCAAACTGACAGCAAAAGAGTGTTTATTAAAAGTTGTTGAACCTCAGCACTGTAATCAACTGCATTTCTCTTCAGTCGTTTGAACCTTCGAACAAGAAGACCAGCTTCACGCATTTCGCGACGTTTTTGAAGTGATGCTAAGCGACGAGCCTCTGATAGTTGTCTTTCGCGCGCCTAGAATTACTGGAATTTAGTAGATACGACGCCACATGAAAAACAAACTATGGAAAAAATTCCAACGCAGGTACAAATACACCTGCATGATTGCCAACCGATACCTACAAAATCCACTCAATACATACCATGCTTTTGGCACTAAACGGTCATCGTTATGTTAACTTTTTACTTGTTGCATACTTCAACTTTTCACGGCAGGGTATTATGTAAAATACAAACACAGTAATGCTGATATGTTTGCAAAAGTCCGTACAGCAGGCGTCTGCGGTAGTGATCGAAAACGTCATTACCCATACCGGGGCTAACGCGTTCACCACACCACGCGCGTCTCTCGGTTCGCCTTTCCCAGTTTAACTGGGTTCAATGTCGATTTGTGTTCCCTAGATCAATCTAGTTGAGACGTGATTGCTAACGGTACTGGTAAGTAGAAAACTTTCTGAGAGTTAGAAAGGGTTACAGCGTGTTCGATCCCCACCGGAAATACCTGTGGTCCGGAGTTTTGCAAATATCTCAGAACCACTGTAGTCATCATTGTCTCCAAACAAAAAGATAAATTCATAAAACAAAAACAGAACACCTTTCTTTTCGCCTTTTTTCCTTGAGTATTTGCAAGCCTAGCTCGTGCTTCTGATAACATTTCCAATTCTAAAAAATGGGATAAGCAAAACAAAAGAGAAAACTGACTTGCTGGCAGAAAGTTAGGACTCCTTATCTAAAATGCATCACTATACCATCATCGTCCATATCAATGGGATCAGGTCTAGCCGGCTTTGTCTCAGGAGTTGGATCTATTTCCCCTGGTTTAAGCCTTTTCGCTTCTGTAGCCTCGTCATCCAAACCTTCTGCCTTTCTTTGGGCCTCATCGAGCAAATGCTCATATCTAAAATTATATGATTTGTCATTTACTAAAGAAAATTACACATCGGAAAAAGATTGGAAATATTTAGTTTAATAGTGAAAATAAACAAAGGAGTGGATATGGAGAGTCTAATTCTTTTGATTGGGATAAACATTTTATTTCTGACCACGTTATCACTTAGTGGGTAGATTACCGAAAGTCGCTCAAGATTGTCCGAGATAAGTATAACCGACATAAAATGTAGAAACGCTAATTTCAACACAAAAGTTCAGCACTTTTAGTTAAAAACAAGTTTAACAGAAGAGTTCTGAATTGAAGAGGCCTCTGATTATAGTTCAGTAGAACCTTTAACTATGAAATCCCACTGCTACAAGCACTAGAACACCAGTCTCCTATCGAACCATATTCAATATAGGTGACTTCAGCTCTTTGTACACAAGAGCGTGTAGAGCCTTACCGTGCAATACAAGAAGCAAATGTCTGTTTTCAGTTTCGCAAAACAAACGGAAAAAACTGGAGTCAACTAATTTGAGTAGCACGAAGAGACCAAACTTTCAGCATAAAACTTCTTATTTTATTGCTTCTGATGTGAGTGTAGTCTTAGTTAACTTGATGAGATCTGATGTGTATATGGTTTACCATTTACTGGGCTACCGTTTGGAAAGATCATCATTTTCGGTACGAAGGGACCTACTGATGAGATGAATGTCACGATGAACATCGTAATTTTAAATAACGAACGTCCACAACCGCGATGAGTGGAAAGACCACTGTGGTTACCACATTACATTTACACCTTATCAATTCATAAACGCAGAAGAATAGCTGCATAGGAATCGACTATAATTTCCATACACACGATCGTACTTGCGCATACTAGCATGCACAACTCTATGACGTCAGAGAACAAACAGAACCCTTGTATATATTTTCAAATTAACTGCTGATAAAAGAGATGTCAAGGGTACAAGTGACTCATTAATTTTATCCTCGACAGAACTCAGTTGTACCAACTCCAATAATGTCACAAGAAGCCATATCCGCAAATTTCCACCTGATTTCACCTAACCATGGTACATCATTATTTAAAAGAGATATAAACATGCCTTTCGAGACACTGTGCAGCGGTCCTTCCTACAATAGGAGCAATGGTTCGCCATTGTGTAGGCATTAGCTTAGCCAGGTGAAGCAGCTTTTCATCTTCTTCACGTGACCACTCCGTCTTCTTGATTCCAGGATCAAGCCATTCAAACCATCGAGCCTTAACGTCAGATTGGAAACAAACGCTAATTAAAATGACGTTGATAACTAATACTAATGAACTCTTTATGTCCGTGTGCATTCTTCCCTTGACAAGTTTACATGAAGTTGATAAATAATCTTTATTCGGCTAACGTCTCCACGTATTCGTTTTCACCAGAGCCGATGATCCGAGTCGATTGTCCACAGTTGCTCGTCTTCTCGACATGGGGTCTTCGACTTCGTATCGAGTCCGATCTTACTCAGTGGAGTATCTCGTCCAATAAGGCATACTCACTCGGAGATGCCCTTGCATACAAAATGCTGGTGGTTGATAGTAGTTATCGTTCGGTGGTAACAATATAATCTTAATCATCCCAACGATCCTAATTAATGACCATAATGGCCCTGGATATCTCCTGATGGTAAATCTTTCTGTTCATTTCGAAACAAACCAAGAAAATCACAAACTAAAAAAAGCAAGCACTCTGCAAGACAAAAATATTAAGAGGATGACGGTCTAGGACAAAACGAAACGCTAAACTCACTTTGCATTGCTTCGCAGACTTTCTGTGAAGTAACGATGCGATGCGACTCCACTGATTCTTACCATATTTCATAATTGCAGCTTTGAGGATCTCATCCTTGAATCTTTGTATACGAACATGCCTTGTTTTAAAAACATATGATCGAAAGGAACCATAAGTCAAACCTCTGTATTTCTCCACACACCTCCTTTGATTATAACGCGCACCATTCTCTTCTAAGTTCCTAAGTTCCTAAAAGCTTTGCAAATAGAACAAGACCATTATCCAGTTCCAATAAAGAGGTTCAAAATCCACTGAGAAAAGAAAAAACTAGGAGACGAAGGCAGCAGATGGCAGGAAATCGAAACAGTGAAACTCGTCCGCATAGCTACTCGTCCAAGGGTTGAGGATTTCTCCGGGCATAACTCTTGTTTGTGGCACGTTTTTTTTCATCATTTTCTTGTGCTGCTTTTCTTGTTTCTTTTCTTTGCTTCCTTTTTCGCTTTTAAAACCCAAGTGCTTTATGAAACATGACATGACTCCACTGTAGCGAGGAAAATACCATTTGCTCAGATTCTTTCCTAGCGGTTCGTACTAAATGGAATAGTAACCAGTGCACCAACTGTTCCTTTCCGTTCGTCTACAGTCTCGGCTGTTTTTTCATCTCTTACCTCGCTCTTCATTTCTTTTCATTCGTTCTTTAAACAACACTGAGATTAGTAGTTCTTCAGGCAGCAGGTAATGGACGTCGATTCCTGTGTTCTTGCGTCCAGCGATGGTGAAGGTCCGTTGTATTCAACATCGGTGCAAATTCGAGGTATGCCAAAGTCTGGCCGTTGGTGGAAAAGCGTCCAGTCTGCCAGGTGAGGATTCGTTTCGTTGCTGTGTACATAAGAGTTTTCATAGCCAGTACCAGTATATCATTTACATCATTTTGATTATTACTTGTTCACTTGGATACTTGGATGGTCCGTCCTCACTGGTTGTGCGGGTCCAAGCATAATTTCCACTTTTTCGCGTTTTCCTGGCCTAACCATTGTTGTTACCTGCAGTCCTAAGGTCCGCCTAACCAAAATCTGTCCCAGGTCGTCAGCATCACAGGCAGTCACCACCCTTGTAGATCATAGGAAGATTTGCCACTATGCGACTTGTTTGATGCCGGGATGGTGGTGGATCCTGGTATTGGTTTCCTTTTAGCTGGTCATCCTGATGGAAACGCCGGACTACTTCTCAGCATCGGAGACTCTGCAGCCCGACGTCCGGGAACACTTCCCAGCCACGGTAAACCATTGAGATGTGTTTTGATTCAAAAGCAGAAGAATAAGACACGTAGAAGTGCTGCTGGTATTAATTTCTTTCTAATTCTGTCATAGTAAGGACAAGGCAATGATCCACTTTAGGAGCGAGATGTGCTAAGAGGGAACCATTTTCGAACGGAGCACATTGGCATATCGATCTAGAATGTACTCTGTCTATTCTAGTTTCTGTTCACCACGGAGCTGTTTTCCTCGTAGCTGCATAGTGTCGTTGAAATGAAGATTTGGATCCTCAGTGATATAACCTCGACCTTTCTTTTCGGAAGATGTTGTCGCAGTTTCGTCCTCATCTTTTGGGCGTGCTCAAATGGTGTTCAAGTTATCCCGAAATATACTGGGGTTCCTCCGATCTGCTTTCCGATTATAACTAGCCTCTACGAGATCGACATATTGGGGGCAATGAGCACATACATTACATGCCCATGCTCAACTATGTCGACATGCGGAGTCTGTAAGTCAATCCTGTTCAGCATGAACAAAAAAATCCCGTGAGTTTAACCTTCCAACTACCATTTCGACACATGTCACAAAGGGTTGCCACTGGTTTGAAATCTTTTACATTATGGAGTTTGGTCATCACGAACACGATGCTGGTTCGACCGCTCACCAAACCTGTCATCCTTTTGTAGTTCGGAAATTGTTACCAGCCTTGTCTCCGAAAAGATCACTTTCTGTGATCCAAGTGGGAACGTTCTAGCCCAGCTATCTCAGGATTCCACGGATAGTCGACTTGACTAGCATTCGACGGCATTAGTTGAGAAAGGAAAATCCTCAAGGAGTTCCCGAACCCACGCGCAAGGAGTTGCAAGACTTTCGTGGGTGACGGATGCGAGGAAACGAATGGAGTGCAGGAAGTGTTGGTATCAGCACAGTAGGTATGAAAAACAGGTTGTGAAGGACAAAAAGAAATATTAGGTAGTGCTGCACATTAGAATAAACAAGAGACAACACTTAACAGAACTTTGCTTACTAGCAATTTTAATCCTGCTGTGAGGACGCGTGTGGCGCAGTGGTCAGAGGCGCCCTGCAACACACTCAAATAGAATCGATCCCCGCGCCCGTGGCTCAACAAGCCTTCCATCCTTCCGGGGTCGGCAAATTGGTACCATACTTGTCTGGGAGGATACCAGCATTGGCTCGTAACATTGTTAGGCAACTACGAGTCATAAAAGCCACATATGCATTCAGTCACCTCCAGCGATGCTTAATGAAATCAAATTCTTGGGGCATCCCTCAGAGATTGATCAACGCTTTATCATTTTTTTATCCTATTGTGAAAGAATTGTAATGCAGGATATTAGGTAATAGTTGTCTTATGTTACCTTAATTTAGACACAGTGCCATTATTAAAGTGAAGCCCTTGAAATCTTCATGGAAGAAGAAAATGACAGATAAAGAAAAATTGACACGATCGAAGCTTTTGCAGCAAGAAATACGTGATCGACAGCTTAAGGAAAAGCAAGTAGGTTGACCCTAAGACGTTTCCTTTCGAAATCGCGTCTCTTCGCCGATATTTTCTTCTTAAGGAAAGATTTGAAAGAAAGAAAGAACAGGAAAAACGTCGCATTGAAAACGAACGAAAGGGAGAGGTTGTACAGGTGAACGTGGTTTCTAAACGAGATTACGACTGTTGTTTTCGGAATTCCTAACTTTTTTTTTGTTTTTTTTAGGTAATAAGGAATACTGAGAAGGTGCGGAAAGCAAAAAAGAAGCAATTGCGCCTCATACAAAAACGGGATACCAATTAGTATTTATCTGTAGACTTTCTATGCACTTTTACTTTGTTCTTCATTCGTTTTGGTGTTGATCTTGTTATTTTTAAGTTTACTTTGTTAAGCCTTGTTACTTGAGTGTAGCGATTTTGTTGGGGTTTTTTCTTCTCATTTTAGGACTCCTTAATATCTAACGGTGTTTAGTTAAATATGTCTCTTTCCGTCGGTTGGTTGAATTATCTGCTCTAATTCTACCAATTCCATCCATCAGGAAACCCAGTTAGAGTAAACCGGCACCAAGATCCACCACCGTCCTCGCATCAAACCACTCATATAGTGGCAAGTCTCCCTCTGGTTCACAAGCGCGGCGACTGCCTGTGGTGGTGACGACCGGGAACAAAACTTTGGCCAGGCTGACCTCGAGACTCCAGGGATCCACAATAGCTAGAGCAGCAGAACTCTGAAACGATGGAATTTATGCCGGGCCCCGCACAACCAATGAAGGCGGGCCATCAAAGTATCCAAGTAATTCAACGTGTAAAAGTGTACACCTGTTACTTCTGCTGATTTGCTACCGTGGTATTTGAAACAGTAGATTCAAACATAGGCGAGAGGCTTAGTTTATATTTTAATTAGGTCGTAAACAATTGCGATGGGTATGGAAATCCTTTGTTGTATATGTTTTGAATTTTAAACTTTTTAAGGTCACATCTTCAAAATTTAGGGCGAGGTTTAGATGCTAAAAATTTCGGAGCAATTACGGAACGAGAGCAAAGAGCTGAACATTAGAGGATATAACTGCGTTCTCCTAAATGGAATTATGACCGATCATAACTTTTGTTGTTTGGGATTCGAGTCTTGACTAGGGTTTATGAGCTCCTGAAAGCTGGAATTTTGATTTGATAGGATGTGAAGGTGTATGTGTTGTAACCGAGCATCAATATACTGACAGTTTTTACTTCAAACACGCTGTGGAGTGAGATACATTTTGTTTGAAGCAATAGTTTGTCTTTTAAAACAGACATTGATTTACTAGGTTGAAAAGCTTAAGTGATTGGACGCCTAAATGATCTGTCCTCATATGTCGTGCAGACACCATTATTTCAGTCCTTCTTTACGTTGTCTACGTTGAGAAAGCATTTTTTAACAACCACGGGATTGCTGAGATATTTGCAAAACTCCGGACCGCAGGTGTCTGCGATGGGTTTTGCAAATATTTCAGCACTCTTTTGGTTGAATTTGGCTTAGTAACCTGGTATTAAAATTATAGAAAGCAGAAAATAAAAAGTGAAACATTTTTAACACTCTCGTGACGTATGACACCTACAGGTGTCATAAAGGTTTCGTGGGAGTGGCCGATAGGACACCTGTAGGGGTTGTTTTCATTCCAGTTTTTTTTGGTGCATAGAACTTCCTCCCTATACTTTTTACACTCAATCGATAGTTTATCCAACGCAGATGCTATAGCGGCTATTCGATCATCGGAGGATGTCTTCTTAACAATTTCCTACTTGATTTCTCATTTTGCGGCGAAAGACTATTGCTGTCAAAAAGACTGTGCGACAAAGATTGTGGCCAGTGAAGAGATGCAGAAAGCCTATGCCTCGAAAAACTAGCAATGCATAATGGGCGCAGCAAAAAATTAGCCGTCGTCTAACACACAAAAGCGCAAAATTAGGCGTCGTCGCGTGAGTGCTAACATTATGTCCAGTCAAACAGATAACCCACACAAACACAACGAACGGGAAGTTATTCCCTTGAAGGAGACGATTAATAATAAACTTTTTTGAAGAACGAAGATGTTAAAATCATTGGAATTTGGATATTAGTAATAAAGTGTCGGAAATCAAGGGCCGATTTGTAACTTCATTTTTTACCTACCTATTTCATCAATAGTTTTTTTTCGAATGTCCCACCATTATACATCACTGCACTGTCTATTTTTTAAAGTTCGCAGCGCATAATTGAATTACCACAGACCTCCGTCAAAGAGGGATCTCATGACCGTCAGTCTCGAGGCAAAGTGATGCGTCCTTAGGTGACGCATAGGGGTTTATCGCAGACCAAAAAAAAACATTATTCTTCGCTGATACGTAGGTGGATCCAGGGTATGAACGCCCTGTTTTTGCTGAACCGATTTGACAAATACGTTGTGTGTATGAGGACGTATTCATGCATGTGCTTGGGAGTGTCGTTTATGCGGATTCTATTCTACGAGTCAATTCGGCCAAAATCCTGCAATTAAGTGCAGGAACGTTAATGCGAGGTCGTTAGGAGTCGCCCCAACAAGTAAGTTCCCCGTGTACTCTGGAAGACACTGGCAAGCTACCCGTGAGTATACCCAGCCCACATGTTCAGAGCTCAGCAAGCTATAAGTGGGCACCAAAAGGCTAAATACAGCAAAACAAACGGGCTTCAATCTCCTGACTCTAATAGAGCCTCAGATTCCGCATCGTTGGGTAGGAAGAGTACGGAGAGGCTGCTAAAATTTCAGGGTCACTCTTGGCTGCCTAAAATTCGAATAACTAAGCTGACGATCTGGACGTACAATGCACGCTGTGCGGCATCTGAGTCCTCTAAAGGGAATCCAATCATGCAGGCAAGGGGGATAACGTACGACATCGTCGGAGTGGCTGAGACGAGAAAACGTTACTCGTTCAGCGACGTGTGAGCAGCTCTTTGATTTTATCACTACGATCAAAACCATTCATAGTAACTCACAATTTTAGAAGCCCTTTTCTCAACGCTGGACGTAGGAAGCTCTCAGTGGAGAGCACCATAACGAAATAGACCACATCATAGTAAACTGAAGGCTTTTCCTAACCGATGTCGCTGTTGTCCCAAAATTCTACACGGGATCAGACCATTGCCACCTTCATGGAAGGTTTTATTTCTCGCGGAGAGGTGGCAAAGCCGCTGTATTCAAAAAACAAAATCTAGAAACCTCCACAAACTGTGGTTTATGCAGATGAGTTCGACTCATGGGAGGATGCCAACATCGAGGAAACATGCGACAGGTGTATTCAAAATATTCGCGTTACTGCTATGAAAGCTGAGTGTGCGAGAGTCACTAAGAGACGTCCGCCTCCAGAAACACTTGAGCTGATACGTCAACGTTAAATCGTCAGGCGTTAAAAGAAGGTCTTGAAGAAGAAGAGCATCAGATATGCCCGAAACTGCAGAGGCTGTGAAAAGCGTTCGCTAAGCCCACCGAAGCATCGCCGACTACAAAACCAATGGTTGCACTCTGACGCCCATGTAGAACAGTTATAGCTTCCAGAAAAGTAATGGGGGAAATCATTCACGATTATTACCTGGATCTCTTCAATAGTCGCATCCTCTTGTTTCCATGCGAAACAAAGGATGGATATACTATCCCACCGGTTCACGCTCGCAAAATTCGACATGATGCTTTGTCATTGATATCTCGAAGAACACCTGGTTTGGAGAGGATAAGATCTGAACCCCTGAAGAACCTGCCAGCTTTCATCAACTCACTGGCTAGGCTGTTCTATTCACATGTTACCTATCAGAATAGTGCTCTTGTTCAAGAAGGATGACCACAACGATATCGATAACTATCGCCCAATCTGGTTAATATTTGTCATCTACAAACTCTAAACTCGAGTCTTCCTAAACAGGATTGAAGAACACTGGGCGAAGTGCAGCCATGTGAGCAAGCAGGGTTTCGAAAACGATTTAGTATGTGGACCACATCCACACGATAACAGGACTTGTTGAAGTATCGCGAGAGTACAAAAGACCTCTATGTCTCACCTTCATCGATTTAAAGAAGGCCTTTGATTCAGTTGAGATAGGAGCAGTCATGGAAGCCCTTAGTAGTCAAGGAGTCCCTGCTCAGCATACAAAGATTCTTCTTGAATTGTACAAAAATTTCACAACAAAATATCACCATTCTATAACGAAATTAACATCAACGTCAAAAGAGAGGTTAAGCGAGGCGATACCATCTTGCCAAAGTAATTTACTGCAGCCCTACAGAACGTTATGCTAACACTCGAATGGGACAAGATTGGAGTGAAAATCGATGGTGAGCAATTGCACCATCCAAGCTTTGCTGATGAGACCGTTGTTAACATCATGCGTTAGTCTAGCGGAACGAGTGCTTGCTGACTTCGATGACGACCGTGGAAAGGTTGGTCTTCGATTAGGTCTCAGAAAGAAAAATGATTTTCTTGAACAGCGGATTGTTTTCTTATGTCCCATTCGAAATCAAGATCAACAGAATGAATATCTTCGAATGCTCCAGTTACGACTATATAGCTTGGGAAGTTACACGGTAAACGGCTTAACTTCAGAGTTGGGCAGCAAAAATCGAGCTTTCAAGAGCATTGAGAATGTAGTGGAGAGAACAAGGAACACCTGGCTCCGTGCACACTTTTTCCACTCCACGATGTCACTACGTAAAGCAGGATAGAAAATCACCCAACGTTATTGAAGACGTAGTGGAAAAAACGATGTTAGGATCTCCCAAGTCACGCAAGTGGCAGAAGGGATCCGAAGCTTCGATCTAAGTTGACGATCAAAAATCAAAGACATCGTTCTATACGTCAAACTGTTGACGATCAGGTGGGCCCGGGACGTGATGCGTATGAACGACAGCCGATAGACAAGAGCCGTTAACGACTGGTTTCCGCGGGACGTCAAATGCACAACAGAAATACCACTGATCCGATGGTTAAAGTTCTTCACGAAAATCCCAGAAAAAAGATAGGATGCTCAGCAAGTCTCTAGAGGGAGTAAAATCCATTGGCCCACACTTGTACGCAACTGGATGAAATGGAAGGTTTGTTGGTTCCGCCTCGAATTTCTCGACGATCAACGGGATGACAGGGAATACATATATACATATATATACATATGCATATACATATACATATACATATGCACATATGTGCATGTGTATAAAAATATGCACGCGTTTATAAAGACATATTAACCTATATTCACATATGTGTATATGTATATGTATATGTATACATGTATACATGTATGTATGTGCATATATCATAGGC